TGGTCAAGGCTCTCATCGCGACATAAATTACCGTTCTCCGCACAGTTCTTTGATTCTTACATGTAATGGTGTACAGTTCCTGTGCCAGGGACGTCTTGCAGTTGAAAAATTTGCCAAATACGAACTTCCCTCAAAACTTCCTACTCTGGAACGAAAAACCTTCCTACCCCATCCTACTCCACCCATTTTCCCATTTCTCGGAAATTCCCAGTTCCTCCCCCTCCCCTCCTCCCCAAAAGCTACAGTCGAGCGAGGGTGGGTCCCGGTAATCAGTGCACGTGAAAGGGCACAAGAACCTGGAAAAAATACGAAAGTCATTCATGGAATCATGTTCTAGCGACACAGAGGAATTTTTCCCACGGTTCTTCGTTTTTTTCTGATTTTTTCTCGATTTTTCTTATCCTTCAACACGACCCACCTTCTTCCAGCGACTGAATACGACAATGCTCAGTGGGGATTCCCAACGTACGACGTACCGTGTCCTGTCCCGTTCTCTGCGTTGGCGCATCCTCCCCTTGGGATACTGAGAATCAGAGTCGCTGGTGTGAGAAAATCAAAGAAGGGTCACAAATTAGGTGAATATCGTGCTGCCAACGTCACTGGTGGAAGGGGTGAGTAGGGTGTGGCTTCTCTCGCAGCCCTTCTACCAATCACGCTGGCAGCAACCGCCCGCCTCAGCGGTCGCGCCCATTGCGCTTGAGCCATTAGTTTCTCGAAACCGAACTTTTGATTTGTACAAGTACGAATGGGTGGCAAACCTAACACTAGCACGAAACGTGCTAATACTCTTGTTTGTGATCCATTCGGAGAAAATGGAATTGTAGGAGGAAGTGCGATAGCTTTTTCGATGTTATTTAATTAACCGCAGACTACAGGGCAACGTGACAAAATGCGAAGAACGGTTTTTTTCGCAGTCGCGCCGTCACGGCAACTTAGCAATCGAGGAAAACAACGTGGCGACGCACGCAGTTCCGTGGCTATCACGGAAGATCCAAAAAAGTTTTTTTCAGACAAGGTTACAAATGCGCCGTCGTGCTGTTTGCGAGGTTTTGCACCTGAGGCGGGTTGGACAATGCTCTCGTCTCATGCCAGTCCCAGAATGGAGAGGAAAGGCTGATGTATGGTCGCCAACAACATGTCTACAGCGAAGGCGGTTAGCGCCCTCCAAGTGGTCACGTCATCGCGCGCAGGGCATGCACACTACAGGCGCGGCCGAGAAACTCAATTCTACGGACTTTTAGTGTCGTTCAATGCCGCTGTTCGGCGACGGGGGGGGGCATTTAGTACCTCCAATGCTTTACTAACTCCGCTCTGGTGAAACCTGTAAACCCTTGTGAAGCTGGAGCAAGCTCGTCCAGCCACCATGGTAAAACCCGTCAACTATTGTCTTGTCTTCTCATTAAAGAGCTCTGAAGTTGGCTCGCAGTGCAAAATACCCCCCCCCCTCTGTAGCCAGACTGCGCCCCGTTCAATCGACTGCCGACACGACCAGGAGATGAAGTGTTTTGCTCCATTTCTTGAGCAAATTCTCATATACCAAAGTGGAGAAAGTACGTATTCGGAAATATGTATTCCTTGATTAAAAAAGTTGTTAAATATTGATTGGCGAAAAAAGGGGGTGGAACAATGAGAAGAAAACCGTTAACAAGGGTCCGCAATGGGACCAAGACCCACCATGTGACTACCTAACAGATAGTCTATTGGGGGTAGAAACAAATCCTGTGACTACCTAATAGATAGTCTATTTCGTGGCCCACCGTGGTGTAATGGGAGGGCCGCAGCCCACCACTCTGGCGCTCAAAAACGCCCGATAAGGACGCTAGAGGCTTGTGACTTGAGCACGATCCCGTCTCTTCAGTCTAGGCACCCCCATGCATGAAAATAGCGGCAGGTGTCGCGTATACATTCAGACTGTAGCCGTCATTCGCATTGTGGCACTAATAACTTGGCGCTAAGATAGTTGGATAGGGCCATGCTTCAGTAGGGCTAGTACGGCAAAATTGGACGTCTGCACTCGTTCTCTCCCCGACATTCCTTCTCTCCCTCAGGCTCAGGCCTATTACGGGAAAAGAGCGCCTTAGTGGAGAGCGGGGACGATAGCCGGCATGACTTTCCTCCTAGCAATCGCCAATAGGTTCTTTGGATCTTACAGTATTCCCCACATACGCATCCATATAAATAGAATTAATGAAGTCTCTTTTACGACAGGAATTTCGATAACACATCAGACAATCAAAACTGTATGGAGTAAATTTAGTGTAATGCAAATAACATCATGTTGAAAGTTAGATTTGGTCAGAGGCATCAAACATCGGGACCCCGTGTATATTCATTGAACTCAACGATAATCAGAATCGCAATGGCATCTCGACTGCGTTTTGCCCCCAGTGACTTGCCGAGATCAGTCGGAACTACTAACTTCCGTTGATGGGGCCAGGCAGCCGCGCGACGAGTTCGACAACTGCGGTTAGAGTGAGAGAGAAAAACTCACCGGTGGCTGCGAACGCAGAGCGCGTGCCGTGTTTACGGTGCGAAGGATCGCAGCTCACAGTCCCTACCTTCACTGCGATTTCATAGGTCAACTCTCTAATCAGCCCGTGTTCGCCTCCAATCGCTAGCGCCAGAGCTCGCACTGGCAACTGCAATCGGTTTGACAATAGCAGGTACCTACATAGAGTTTCCCCTGGTTCAAATGTACTTTTCAGTTGTTTTCCATGCCTCCCAGTGATCTGCTCTCCGTTGCGATGTTAACTTTTTTGCCGTTGGCTTCTTACTCTAGTGTTGTTTCTCATTACATCGGCAACGAAGTGCCTTTTTGTTAAGTTTCATTGCCTTTAAGATTGCATAGTGCCGTAGCATGACGCCTTTCTTTTTGTCGCGTTATCGCTGCGGTGACAGGGAGCACGCGACGCATGCGCTCGCCGGTAAGTTTTCCGTCTGATAACTCTGCACCTAAGCGGCGTTATGAGTGCCTCAAACACTCCAACCAAAAACGTGTAACTTGCTTCAGACCAGAAACCTTTTCCGCTCAATTTCGCACTGTCTGTTGCGGTTCAGCAATGTGACAACATGTGTAAATGTGACCTTTTTTTGAATGACACGTATTTAACTGTCAAATAGAAGCGAACATCACAAGCATGATCACAGAAAAACAAAAAGTAAGTAGCAAGGTATGTATAGACGGCGAGGCTATCAATGTAAACGATCGTCAATAGTCAATTTCTCTTCCAATAGTTAGCAAGAAAGCGGGTTAATCAAGCGTAACGGTGAGTATTCCCCGTTCGGATCTGAACTACCCTTTCCCCTTTTAGATGACACCCTTTTCCAGGCACTTGAAAAACAAGTTCACAGGTAACGTAAGGTGTAGGTGAGGTGTAAGGTTCTCGCCCTAACACTATAGTTCCAAATGACCTCCCGGCAGAGGAGGGAAGGCAGTTCGTCATAAAGATGCAGTTCAGCACACTTTCACTCGACATGAAGACGGCCGACAGGGGTATATGGCAATTCACCGATGGGTCGCCGTTGCATGCGTGGGCGTGCTGTGACGCCGCAGTTGCTGGTTACCGAGTATGCGTTGTTCCCATGACTCGTTCAGATTACAAAGGGATCACGAACTGACCGTCAGCCAAATGTTGGTCGAGAACGCCGTGAACTAACAGAAAATCCCTACTCCAACAACAACCCATGGGTAAGCGAAGTGCGAACTCTGAAATTGTTGCTCCATCACCGCACGTCTAGCGCGTACGACCTGAGCGGCGAAACCCGGCTCACGATAGAATTGCTCCGCTTCTGAATTCGACACCTCTCTGCTCGGGACAGTTGTGTGGGGAGGGGCGCGGGGTTGTAGGGATGTCCGCCTAAGAGGTGTAGTTTAGCATTCAGCATGTGATTCGCAGAGAAGGCGACAAAGAGAGGTTACAAGCAGGATCATTGCACTAGGACCCAACTCTTTCAACGCGTGGTAATGCTGCAGCTCATCAAGTCGTCTAACTAGGAGATAGTCTGCTACTTTGCGCGCGATATCAGGCCTAGGATTACCAGTTTTTGAGCGATATCACGCCTCGTATGGCGAAAACTCATCCTCAAACCAAGATTCCCCAGGCTAGCTGATTCCAGACTTGCACTTTTTTCGATCAATCCCATTAGGTCCAAAGTTAGCGGCCTTACTTCCCTTTATCTCAAAAATTATCAAACGTCAAGTTTCGAACAATCACGTTAGATCTTTTTGCATTTATTCAACGCTTTGAACTGAATATGATATTAAGCCATTCAGTTGTATTCTCAAGTCTCGATGCAGAAAAAAGGTCTTATAATCGATAGTCAAGACGAGGCAAGCAAACTCATTACAACGTTCAGAAAGCTGTGTCAAGTCAAGTAGCTAAGGAATTCTAGGCAGTTATTGCGCCCCGTTATCAGAGGTCTTGAACCACGACTTCCTACTCGGACGTCTCTTGCTGCTAACCCTTTGCGGAGTTTGCTGCATGGTGTGAATAGAAGTGAAAACGATGGTTTGACCATAGCTAGCCGATGAGATAAGCTCCGTTACGAAGAGCAAGGGCACAAGGCGCACGGAGATGGCTTTGGCAGAGTAAACTTACCTAATACGGGCTGAATAGTCTTACCTGTCACAATTTAGCTCCCGATTAGCAACATAGGAATTAATGGACTCCAAACCCAACTACCATACCTACTGCGTTACATGTAATTTGCCCACCGTTCGCTTGCTCCCAATAAAAGATATAATAAATACTTATGAACAAGAAATATAGGAGCAAATTAGCAAACTGAAAAGTTGCATCATATAAGGACACATGGAGTGATTGCAGCAGTCTCTCTAAATTGGAATTAATTATGTTATAATTACAAGTGAATAAAATTGAAGCATTCAAAAAAACCATCAGGTGAGAATTGTCATGCTAATTAGTTGAAAAGCAAAAAAATACCTAGTGTGGAAGGCACATCAGTCCATTCAGGCAACAAGCAATTGGGACAACTTTTCTCTACACAGCGTCTTCTTTGCTCATTTGCAATGGATTCACATATTCAAATCCATCGAACTCGCTTTGGTCAATTTTGGCGATGACGTTCGGGTCATCAGGAGTCAAATTTGGAGCCTCATCTGTGAACTGGGTGTCGAAGTGTTGAAGATCGCGATCATTCTCCACGGACGGATTATAGGGAGGCTGCAACTTGCCTCTTTCAACTGCCAAACAAATTTTGACTACTACCAAAAGTTAGGTGCAGCACAAATGCAATCAGCACGAATCACATTTCTGGTAAGGCGGAGAACAAGATATAGTTCCAGACAGACACGTACCCGGCCTTTTCCAAAGGGGTTTTTTTTTTTTTCAAACCCAGTGTGTTTTTGAAAGAAGGGATGTTCTTTCATTTCTGTCAACGATTCTTCAATGTCTGTTCGACATCCCAGTCGTTCTGACGGGTCCTGAAAAAAAAAAACAACAAATTGGTGCATACCTTTCAATTGGTGCATTATCACCAGAACACGTTCTGCTGTGGGGCAAAATTGCAACTCCCCCACAACCTCCCCCCCCTCCGGTACACTCCTTCTCCGTTTCCTCTTTTCCTTCCTATCTATCATTGAAACTCGCCGGCTTCCAGGGGGTTAAACTCTCCACCTTTCAAAAACCGGCGCCTGATGAGTAGAGAGGGTGAGGTGAGGTGCATGGGTGGATATAACTGAAAAAGAACCGAGAACAGTCAACAATCGAAAACATTTCTTCCAAAGGCGGATACCACCCGATTATTTCAGCAACCAAACGATCCTCCCTCCCTGGCGATCTCCTGTGTATGACGTCCGTCATAGTTTCTACCTGCTCATTACCCAGTTGTTTCAAAACACTCATTAAATTGGCAGAGCTGCTCAAGCAACCAACAGTAGAGGTCTCTTTACAAACTCACCTTATTCAAGAACTGCTTTAGCACTGAAGCAGCTTTGACGGATAAACTGCGAGGTATCCTGATCTGTTTCTCAAGAATAATCTGCAAAGAATATGGTTCTTTGACACAAATCAAAACAAACTTCCCACGAGAGTGAAGATAGAATGAAGTGGATAAGAAAGCTCTACTTGGAAAAGATAGTCCTCTGTGTTTTGATCAGGATCACCGGCAGCACCAACTATGTCGAAGGGGGAACGACCAGCCATCATTTCGTACCTGTAAAAAGCGAGTATAAAGCAATTCTTAACAAAATGTTTTTACAAAATGAATCAATCACGTCTGGAACCTTTAGAGGGCCAAGCTGGATCTACTTGCCTAATTCTTGGCCTTTATGAGAGTGACGGCCAGATTCGATTTGATCCATTATTAAAGTCCATCTCATGGTTGGTGCAACTGAAGTTGGGCCCAAGTTGCCCCCCCCCCTGAGAGAAGACCCCAAAATTCTCGTGTTCTGTGTTTCTTCTAAGGATGGGCATGGGTTAGGTGCCAATGCCCGTGGGAGGAGAAGACAAACAAGTTTACAAGTTCATTGCTCCGTGTGCAGCTACTCACCCCCCCCCCTTCACCCCCTTTACTAAACAGTGCCACAGATGCTTGACAGAAAACGTACAAAACTCACATGAGCACACCAAGAGCCCACCAATCGACACTGAAACCGTAGTCTTCACCCCGAAGGATTTCCGGTGCAATGTAGTTTGGTGTGCCGCAAAACGTAGACGTGACATCTCCTGGCCCAATGTTCTCCTAAAAGTGGGAATCGTAGAGTGCCTTCTTTTCTCAAAACATATACCGCAGAGTAAGGGATATTGTCAGGAATAAACAGAAATATGGGGTTACCTTACACATTCCGTAATCTGTGAGCTTTACGTGCCCTTCTGCATCAATCAACACATTATCGAGCTTTTTCAAATCACGATAAATGATGCCACGGGAATGAAGGAAGTGTAGAGCCAGGATGATTTCACACGAGTAGAATCTAAAATAGTAACGAGTTTTAGAGGTGAACCGACACTTTCCTCCAACTCAGGCTCTGGATGTTATATAAGATCTGTAACCCTTTAGATATGTTTGTTCTTTCAAAACTTATGCGGGCCCGCACCTTCCGGTTTATTTGAATAAATAAATAAGTAAATCCCGGGAAAAATTCTTCATTCTATACAAGACCGAGCTGGAAGTGGTAAACTTTTGTGGGCGTTATAGAATGGGGTTACACCCAAATACATAAGGCACTTTATTTCGCCACTGTTAGATCCTTAATTCGGAAAAGAAAAAGAAGGCATGGTTCTGCCTTGCGGGACGGGGGCCTTTTGGCTGGTTCCTGATCACCGACTACCTTATAGCTCTTGGCGAGTACGCTTGTGCAATTCCGTGAAGCGTGCAGCTAACGCAGGGGGTTTGGCCTGACACTGAACAAGATTCCTACCAGGTCTCACCCGTATTAATTCTACGGGCTAGTAGAAGGAGTTAGATAAAGTGCAAAAGTCCCTTCCAAGTCGGACAGCGTCAAAAATGTTGCTTCAAGCCACATAGAGAGCTTAAAACTAGCTCATCGATAGCAAACTGCTACCTGTGAAATTGCGGCAGTTATACAAACTCACCGTGCATGGTCTTCAGGAAGTTTACGCTGACGCTGCATGTGAAACATCAAATCTCCACCAGGTACAAACTCAATGTTACAAGAATGAGTCGTGATTCCGGTCTTATAATTCGAGTCTACAAAATTAGGCCCCTTCCAAGAATTAAATAAAACAAGATGAAGTGCAACGGCATGCGGTGTCGAAACTTCAAGGAGGTGGGCATGATGGCTGGCGTGTTACCGTCATTGGTGGAAGGGCTGCGAGATGGCGTTCGGCCACATCCATCCTTAGCCGTTCCACCAATGACGTTGGAGTAATCACCTGCCCCCTTCCATTCAGTCCACTGCTTTCAATTCTAATCAAGGGTTTTCTTCGAGACATACCTGAAAACAAGAGTGCAGCCCTACTAGGAAAGGATAGTTCGAAGCGGCTTCGAACACTGATTTTTCCGTTTGCACCCAATCAATGTCCTGCAAGAAGTGAACACTTCACTAATAATGCTTCAACAAAAACCTTGAAATCTGAAAGCGAGCAATAAGAAATACCTCATCTTCATTGAACATTTGTTTTTTGATTATCTTTATGGCATAAATTTCTTTCGTTTTTATGTGTTCCGCTTGCACCACCTGAATTAAAAAGATTCTCAAGGAAAGCGCCAGTGTGCGGAAAGAGAGGTGATGGAGGAATAAATATGAAACACTATTGCGACTGATGGTGGCCACTCGTCGGCAAAATTTACTCCTCTGGAACAAGACAGCGCGCCGACCCCGATAATTTGCATTCCTTTAGGTGTGAGAAGCAAGAAGGATCACTTTGCTGCGCCGGATGCATGGTCTCCATCAATCACATTAGCTCCGAGTACAACTCAAGAAATAGGACCATGTGAGCGCGTCCATACTTCGCGTACGATCGCTTCTGTCACAAGATCCAAGAGATCGTACCGTGAAATACGAATGCGCTCTGGTACCTCAAAACTTTGGTTGCATACCTTCGCATAAGAGCCACGACCGATAACAGTGAGAAGACGGAAGTCACTCAGTGAAACGGACCATTTACTGGGTAATGAGCCTTCCGTAGTCTGGAAACAGCTTTGATTGGAACTGAGAAAACCCAGAATGCTTCTGAAATTGAGTAAAAAATGATGCAGACTGACCGCAGGTGCACAAGATGGTTGAACGGACAAATCCACTTCTGCTTCTTGAAAAGCTCCGTTATCGAGTCCGGTAAATGAGGCTTTTTCTCCACCGTTCTGAGATCCACCGTGATAGGCACTTGCAGGGTAAGCGCTGTTTTGTTGCGAAGGCGTTATCGATGGTGACAAAGCCTGAAACGAGAACATATGCGGAAAACGCAATGTACATCACGAATGAGTGTATGTTGTATCTATCCACTAATACATAATATTCCCGCTGTACTAGCGCTCCGCACTCTAATTCCACAACTAGTCCCCCTTAGTAGTTATGCTAGAGCTTTCTCTCATTGTCAGAATCAGCGAGGGTTTCGCAACACCCACGCTACCATCTAAGGCAGCGCTCATAGACCGTATTCTGCGGCTGAATGTTGTTTGGCGCGATCGCCTTGCAACCGAAGTGTCGAAACATGTAAGAAACTGACTTTCCAGAGAATTTTTGGGGTTCCAATATCCCAAAACTTCAATTGATGCAGTAACGCTCC